TTGTAATTTGGGTACCCATGGGGAGTACAATAGTGGCACGACCTGAGCCAACTATTGTAGCATCGCGCCCGGTGATTGTCAAAACATTTCCTTGTCTTTTTGTAAGAGTTTGGAAATATTTTGTTTCTCTAAGTATAGAATTAGTGGTACCACTGTCCACTAGGCATAATTCCTCCTCCATTAGATTGACCCCCGTACAAACTATATATAAATAAAGAATTTGATATGAAACTCTTTGTTGATATATAGAATACATACTTTATTTATTGAATATCAAATGTGTACAATACATTATTGGGTATTCAAACTAAATAGTGATGACATTATTAAATATTTACAACACATAGGACATAAATTATTTTAACTATTATAATCACTAGGACATAAAGACATAAGAATCGAAGGGATTGTGAGCCTATTCAAAGTCTCCAAATATATCGTTGGATGCATATTCCATGATCATATTCCCCATATCAGCAAGATCCTCGCCTCCTCGTATGTTGTTGTTGCTTGGTTCCATTAAAACTTGTTGTGAACAACCAACCTCATTCCTGGTGGTGTCAGGTCGAATGTTGAAGTGGGCTTCATACTTCTGTCCTGGTGCAGCACGTCCGCGACCCACAAACTTTAAGTAGAGGTCAACAAGATGACTTGGGGTATGACATTTCTTTGTAATATGGTTATAACAACCACACTTTTAACACATAGGTTTGTCATTCTTGTGTTTGGAAATGTTCTTATCCTTGTTGGAAACATGAGTTTGGGATTTCTTATTGTGTCTGCGTTGTTTTTATCTTTCTTGGAATTTCCCTAAGGATGGGTCTTAGAAAGTCCACCATCAAATTTGGGTTTATTCTGAGTGTAGGCATGTACTTCAGACAATGGAGCAGACCCTACGGGGCGCTGCTGATTATTCCAAACCATAAGTTCAGAATGTTTTTCGGCCTCAAGTAAAGTTTGTATAAGCTCAGAATAAACCTGAAACGCCTTTCACGGTATTGTTGTTGAAGAATCCTTTTAGAGGGAAGCATAGTAGACAGAGTCTTTTCTATTTTATCCGCATTTGTAGGTTCTTTCTCGCATAATTGCAACTTTGAGCAAATCCTATTAACAGCGTGGTTGTAATCACTTACAGTTTTGAAATCATGTAAGCGAAGTTGCGTCCACTCATAGATGGCCGCAGACAGGACAAGTGCCTTTTGTTGTTCATAGCGTTGCTTAAGAGAATTCCATAGATTTTGTGGGTTCTCTTCCAACAAGTATTCAGCCTTAAGATCAGGATGAATATGGCTCCTAATGAGATATAGGGCCGTGTATACATGTTGATCATCAAAAGGTGCAACACCCTCTTCGAGTGGTAACACAGCTCGATAAAGTCCACGGGACGCAAGACTAAACTTTATGTCCACAGCCCATGTGGGATAATTGTGGCCGTCTAGAGCAAGCAAATCAAACTCTTTGACGGTCATTGATCCTACACGAGGCAAACCATCAAAACATTTTAAGTTATTAAAATGTTGTAGTGTGTTATAATTATGGGATGCAAAATAGAGACAAGATAAATCTTGTATTATTAATGGTGTAAAGATCTCATGTGCATAATAAAATAATGGAGGTAGTCACCATAAAAGTGTAGACCTCAAATTGGGCATAGTCTGTATTAACAGTAGATGCCAAGTAATTATGCAAGTTGTATAAACACGTCTTAAGGTAGTCATCAAGAATGATGTAGACCTTAGTCAATTCGTAAACGAATTAGGTACGTACGTTGAGGATAGTCACTAAGTTATGGACTTAGTGTAGATCCCACAGTAGCAACTATGGTGCTACCTTATATATGGCCAATAGGAATACGAATTAATGGTAGTCATCTTTGTGAAAAGATGTAGACCAAATGTTCTTATTTGTGATGTTGGGTACACACGTTGAGGATAGTCACTAAGTGTTTACTTAATGTAGATCCCGCAGTAGCAACAATGGTGCTACCTTGTGTATGGCTAACAAACAAATAGGGAACATGCGCGTTATACAATTGATGAGAAAATATACATAAAATGTCGCATCCATTATTTAAGCGCGTAGTGCTTTAAAGTAAAAAAGCATAAAAGGGGCTTAAATAAAATAATCGATTGCAAAAATGATTAATGAATAAATAATTTGCAAGATCATGGTCGTAATTACAAGGATATTATTTTATTGGATTTGCCATACATACAGGGACAAATACTTTGAATAATATCATAAATGGATATTTTACAATGATAAAATATCACAAGTACAACTATAGTTAAAGTCAGCGATTAAACACAAGAGTACTTAATTTTACAGCACATAATTATAAGAGACTAACATAGTCATTGACGAATTAATGCTGTAAAATAAATAAAACAGAAGGAGTCAGTCGGGCCAAAAGAATCAGGAACAAGCCATTTTCGTTTGGGCCCAGCCTGGCCCAATTGGGTGCACAGTAGACAGCAGGGAGAGAGGGCAGGGCGTAGGCCATTGGGCCGGTCCATTTGCGGGCGTGGGCCTTTAAAAGGCAAGGAGCAAGCGGCAGTTAGGGTTTCACAGCCCTTGCTCGCCACCGCTGCCTTGTAAAAAATAACAGCCGCCGCCGCTGCAAGCCACCTCGCCGTCGCACTCCACTGCGCCACCGCTGCCGCCGGTCTTTAGTTCGAGGAGGACTCCCCCTCGTCGGGGGAGTAGAAGCGCTGCCGCCGCTAGCCATGTTGAGCACCTCGGCCGACGGGAGGCCGAGCACGACCGGGCTCCAAGTCCCCCGGCGGATCCCCGGGCGCCTATCCACGGCGGCCACCCTGCGGCCGAGGAGGCGGCGAATCGTGTGGGGCGTGGTGGCGCTGCCCTCAGCAGAAGTTGGAGGAGCCGCCGGGAGAGCTTGCTCCTTCATGCGGGCCGCAGCTTTCGCGCGGGTCGTGGGCAGAGGAGGAGCCGTTGGCGGAGTCACCGCCGGAGGAGGAGCCGAGGGTCCGGCCCTGTCGAGGAAGAAGTACGGCGAGACGCCAGACCTCGCCGCGTAGTTGAAGATGTCGCCGATGCCGAGGCCGGTCACCACATCCTCTTCGTCAATCTTCACGGCGTCAAGCGCGGGAGCAGCCCGCGTGTTCAGAAACCATGGATCGAGCGGGGGACGCCATTGCCTGTCGCCACTGGAGTCGGGGAGGCTGGTGTGGGTGTCGACAGCGAGTATGAGTACTCGAGCATGTGTGGGATCGAGGTGAACTCCTTGCAGAAGTCGCACCAGAAGCGAGGCGGTGACGGTGCCGGCGACATCGGCTCCATGGGGACGTACGCGGGTATTGCGACGGGTTCGACAACCACTTCATCAACGGGCGGCGCCGGGGCTTCCATGACTGGTGGCGCTGGGGCTTCAACCGCTGGAGGCGCAGCGTTGCTGGGGCCGGCACCGTCCAAGCCAAGGTGAGGAGATGGTGGCTGGCTCTGCAGACGAAGGTCGCGCGGAGGAGAAGCATGGCGGCCACGAACAGGAGTCCATCGGCGGCGAGGAACTGCATTGGAACGGAAGCCACGAATAGCGGAGCCGAAGAGGCGGCCGAAAGGACCATGGCCATGACCATGGGCAATGTTGCGGCAAACACGAGGCCCAAGGCGCTCGAAGACGCTGCAGCGTTGTCCATGGTGGCCGTGGTGGCGGATCAGGCCACGACGAACTCCACCGACGCGACGAAGGGCGAAGAACAGTTGACGAACATGTGATGGTAAGTCGATCCTTGCCATGCTTACCGATGGGGGTTCAGGGGCATGTGGAACTGTCGTCGTTCCCTTTCGCTGTTCCTTAGAGCAAAAGTACTGATAACGTGTTAAACGATGAATGTAAATGAACAAGATTTGGAAACAACCACATCTTAGTTCATCTGTAAAGGGGATTATATATACATTTGAGGGGGTGTCTCCAAGAGACAACCGTTCACCAAAGGATAACCCCCTTGGCAATTAGATTAACTGCTATGCTAATCCTAATCCTAACTGCACATCTAATTGGATGAGATCATCTATGAATAGGTGTCTGTTGGCGGGCACCGTTTCGTAACATGGTGCAGGTAGGCTTTGCGAGCACCGTTGCTGCACGGCCGCCGCCCAGTATTTGGCACGGCTAGCTAATCGTGGCTGCCTCCGTATCCAAACGCGCAAAAACACTCCTCGTGTCGTCGTTTGGTGCAGCTCCTCCGGCTCGACTGCTGAAGCTGCCAACGGAGCCGGACTGCCGGAGTGCCACCAAACAGGCCGGCAAAACTTGCAACAGTCCATGCTTCAGCTGCTTCACGACATAATGCAGAGTAGGTGGAACCAACGTATTTTAACACACTAGTTTATTACACATCGCAGCCATCGCTCAAGACATTGATTCAGGTAAACAGTATTTTAAGATAGTTTAGTACATACAAACTCAATATTTATTCAGGCCACAAATTCTGCACAGCTCACTTTTTACATCCACCAAACATACAAACTCAATATTTATTCAGGCCACAAACATGCAGAATCGTGTGCGCACAAACAAGCACAAGATGCAGGTACTCTAATGATCAAAGTATCTAGAACCATACTATATTTTGCATCTGCTGCTGGAAGCATGTGAATACAGTGAAATATCATTTTAACCTACTGGCCAGTTGCTACAGAATGTCAAATGGTGCCTCAAAAGTTGTCGAGGGCTGACTGTCCCTGAACTTAAACATATCTTTCATACCAATCCTTGGGAGATGAACCCCAATGTTTTAACTATCATAAGTAACTGGAATACATTTGTGTATAATCAACTCTGATACTAAGTCAAAAATTTATGTGGCTTATTTCACCCCCCCCCAAATTGAAAACAACAGCAGCCAAAAAGGATGAAGATAGCTTCCTAATGCAAAACCTGACTTTTGGGACCATATCAGGAGTTCAGGACAAATCAAATATCCATCATTCCAATGGTCAAAGCACAGCTTGCTCATCTGGGGCATAATGCCCAAAATTTACCTGTGTTTCCGAGATTTACCCCTGGATTTCACTTTCTTTTCAAGATTTTTGACCTTGTAGCCAAGAGCAGCAGCATCAGGTTGGCCCAGACCAGATCGCTGGGCTCCTGCGATTGCTACTGGTGACTCTGCGGCTGGTATTGCCTTAGATCCACCAAACATATTGAAGATTGGCTTTGCCGTGAACGAAGGTTGAGCTTCCAAAGCAGGAAGATTAAACCACATCCTCACAGCTGGCCGCCGGATAGCTGATGAAAAGATATGATGGGGCACAAATTATCAACTATTAGACCATGAAAGAGAACACGAGATCCTACAGATTCAGCCAAAGTCTGGGATCATACTCACCAATACCATATAATAGGGTGAATATGTTTGATGTGATCCAGTAACAGAAAATTGCCTGGACAAAAGAAATAAAAATTAGGACTACTAAGGAAACGAGTACATCACATATATTACACCAAAATATGAGGACTAGTTGGAATAAACAATGCTACTGCCTTGACTTCTAGGCTTCTAGACTAGTTTAGTGCCCTAATGCAGACTAATAACATGCATTTTTGTAAATTTCATGTACATATCAAAATTCAGAATCCAATCAAGCCCTAAGAAAAAATTAATTATAAAGTGCTTGTATGACTATCCATGCTGTTTTCTTAGTACCTCGGAGCTACAATAAAGTTATCTTCTAACACAGAGCTAAACACCAACAATATTACAGGGCCCACTATAAGGGTAACAGGGCTTAGGCGCTACCAATACAACGTAGTGATCCATAATAGGGTTTTAGAGTACAGCAATGGCAGGTGGGGCTATTGCAATATTAGCCATTTTATGTGTCGGACTGTCGGCAGCCAGCCAGCCCTTCCTCATTAGCTAGAGATATAGGATCAATTAGGGATATGCAGCCACTTCCCACCTGAGATCTATTCGTCAAATATCGTAAATTTCAGCCGGGAACAGTGTTTTTTTTTCTCACACCAAACCAGCCAGCATAATCCCACGATTTTAACGCCGGCAGCTGCGGGGAAGTTACCTCCGAAACAGATGATGATTAAATACGATTTGTCAGAGCACTTCCAGGATTCCACCTAAATTAGATCTATTTTGTCATAGAGTCCATCTAAATATAAATTCACCCTAAATTGTTCTCTCTCACAACAGTCCCCTAAATTTCAACCACTATCTTTTAAACATATCTGGGCCCAGTTTCTGTATTGAACTATTGATCTAGTCTTCATTTTTCTGTCAGACGCTGATCGCCTCTTGTTGAGTCCTACACCATGGTAGCTCATCGGTAAGAATCCCACAGGTCCTGACAACATTTTAACACCAGCCGGCAGCTGCCGGGGGAAGTTGCACCTGCCGGGACAAACAGCAACCGGCAGATGGAAATTGCCATGGGCATGGCCTGGTGGCACCGGGTGGTTAGCATGCGAGGGAAGGGCCACTTGGCGCGTGACGGGGGCTAGCAGGGAAAGGGCACGTGCAGAAAAAAATGGGTGCTAAGTCTGCAACCAAGAATTGAGGGACAAAGAGTCATTTAGGGTGCTATTAAATTTAGGAAATTGAATAAGGAAACTATTGAAGGAAGTTTTTTTCGGGTACACCTTAATTTTGATTATAGGGGGTTGAATAGGAGCATTCTTGAAGATGCACATAGGAGAGATTGGGCCTTCCTTTGGACCAATTTGGTAGGAATCCACTAAAAGGGCTTCAGCTCTGGCTCCTCGTGTGGAGCAGCTTCTCTGGTGGAGCTGAAACCGTTTGGCAAAAACAGATAATTTGTGTCAAGTTTGTGAGGACTGAGGAGGGGCCAGGAGAAGCCACATTTTCATGGCTCCGGCCCCTCAGTACAAAAACAGCTCCAGCTCCTCTGGGCTCCTTTCAAAGGACCGCTTTTTAGATGGCCGTTTGGTACGACTCCGCAGCAAGAGCTGCAAGAAGCCGGAGCTGTGCCAAAGGGACCCTTAGCAATCAAGGGATTCTTCTCTATATAAAGGGAGGTGATGTATAAGGGAAGGAGGCAGTGGAGAAGAATTAATCCCTAGTCTCCCCAATAGTCTAGTCTCCCACGAAGCCAATTACACACGGCTATCTTCCTAGCAGTGTTTACCCTTGATGAACTACAGTTCATAAAATCTGGTATCAGATTGCATTGGTTTCAATCCAATCTCGTGGCTTCTGCTGCCACCAACCTATCAATTATGGATATATCTGTCACCATGTTGGCTGGCTGTGCAAAAATACAAGACTTGATTGGGAAGTCAAAGGAGAGGATGGGCATGAATGCTAGGCAGTGGTGCGCCTATAGGCGGCAGTGTGGATGCCTGGCGAGGCGTCAAGTACGGGCGACAAACTAGTGGTATATGGTATTGCCTTGGGCGATGCCACAATCTTCCATGGTGGAAACAAAGACACTTATGTCCTCAACGGGTCCGATGACATTCACCAAAATTGAATGGTGTGTCGTGGCAAGCAACTCCAGGCTTGACAAGCTGGATGTGTTACCAGCACCCCCTTCCCTGCGCACACACAAACCAGGTGCCACAGGATCCATCTACGACCACAACACCATGCATCCTCACGCACAACTCCATCACGACAACCTCTTCTTTGACATTCTGCAGGCCTTGATTGCTGGCCAAGTTGACCCACTGGCTCTCATGTCACAGCACCAGACCTGCAGCATCACATCTCACCAGCATATCACCCTACACCCCTGCTCCTAGCTAGTAGCATTGTGCGTACATGGACGTTGTGCTAGATAGAGGCAACCAGGTTTGCTGAATTTCCATGGGATCCAGGATATGCGTACTTCATACATGCATCAATTCTGGTTTCTCACCTTAGAAGTAAATAAAATAAGCCTAGATGTAACTACAGTTCAATGGGGGAGTGTTATGGGGTGGCAGCCCTTCCTCATTATAATAGAGATCTAGGATCAATCAGGGATTCGATTAGATATGATTTGTTAGGGTTTGATTGGACCATCCTTAGCGGTCAAGGAGTCCTCTCTATATAAAGGAGAGTGATGTATCAAGGGAAGGAGACAATGAAGAACCCAAGTCTCAGCTATCTTCCTAATGGTGTTTACACCTAATGAACTAGGGTTCATAACAAGCAGGCACTATAGCAGCGGTCCATGTACCTCGTATCCTGTATCGGATATGGATCCATGGATACATGGCAGATACGTATCAGCGAAGTATCCGTAAAAAACAAATATGAGATAATTCTGGATACTTGGTCCATAGTTCTGGGCTTCCCCGATACATCACGCTGATATGCCCAGCGCACCAGCAGGGTAGCATCGGCTATGAGACACCACTCTGCCTAACCCAATATGTTTGCTGCAACACGTCACGACGCCTACAGCAGCAACCAGAGTCCAGAGAGCACCACCACCACCATCACCTGCCGGTGACGAGTCATTGGCGAGCCATGGTGAGTTCCTCCCCTTCTCCTCCAGCCCTTCTATTTTCTTCTCTTGCTCACCCATTGTAACGCCCTAGAGTCCAAACGGCTCAGATCCACTCTACATGTTGAGTGAACCACACCTACCACCATACCACTTATGCTTTCGTCCATGCTTCACATAAAAGGATTAACCCGGGGATGGTGGGATGGACTCTAGAAGCCTTATATGTTGGTCTAGCCCACCCTAAACAACCAAGGTGGGACTAAACCCTCAACAACATCTCATTAACATGCACATGGGCCACTATGGGCCAAATTCCAAAATGATCTGGATATCACATACCCCCCCACACACTCAAAAGGGCAGAGGACCCTGCGGTGGAGGCATGAAGGTGGTGGTCCAGGAGGTGGCAGTCATTCCCACACACTTGTGCACGTGCCTGCAGCACCAGCCAGCGGTAAGTCTTCCCTGGTGTTGCCAGTGATGACTCTTTCTTCTTGATTTTTCTCCCTCCTGATTTTTCTTCCCCTCCTGACGTGGCTGCGGTGGCTCTCAGCGGCAAACAACTGCTGCTGCTCCTTGCTGATGTGTCCCTGTTAGATCAGTACATGGAGAGGCTCTCCAGTGCCTAGAGCTGATGGCTGATCTCTGTTTCTGTCTCAATAAACCTAAGATCTTTCATGTATTCACGCTACATCTATGACTTATTTTTTAGAAAAAAAAAATACTAAAACGTATCCACAATGCAACATATTAGTTTTTTTAAACAAAAAATGACGTATCCGTATCAGCCAGACACCGACACACATATCCGTATCCGTATCCATGCTGCATAGGCGGTGGTTCAGGGCAGTATATAAAGATTGTGGCTGATATTATGGTGGTAGTTTAGTTAGTAGTAACATCACATGATAGATTCACAAATAAAATTGGAATAGGCGTCAGGCTAAGATAATTTTCTATGGTAATTTATGCTCAATATTACACATTTGTTTTCTGTAAAAAATACTTCTACATGTAAAAGTCAAAACTGGGAGTATTTTCATATTATATTACACGAATACGGTGTCCCCTATCTACATTTTAAAAAATATGCTATGTAATATTACCTTGCACTAGACAACTTGTCCTATAGTCATTTAATCTATCAACACATTTTCTTCTCAGCCATAATACATATAGTAAACCTTTTAACATTCAAAGAATTTAAACCTATGAAACCATAGGTCTAACAAACTTCACAGGGAATCTTGCTAAAAATATCTCTCTGTCCCAAGAGGAATACAATCCTAGAAATTCTCAGACAGATTAGTTGACAGTGAAATGATGCATGCTCCTAATCTCTACTCATTCCCATGCATTGGAAGGCTTGTTAGCCTAGGTAACTAATGTTGCATATGAATTCCAAAGGAAATAAAGTCCAACAAAAATGTTGCATGCATGGCTTTAAAGATAGCCCCTACCTACCTAGGATTGCATTCTTTTTGGGACAAAATTTGAATGCTCGAACTGCATAACATTTGGGATGGGGCATGTCTACCCAAGTATCTGTCACTTCAGATTTTTAGTGGCAACATATTCCTTAAGTATTCCATTATTGGTTGTCAACACATTACCGGTAATGCGGTTCATTGAGTCATCTCAAATAAGATTCATTAATGTAAAGATACCAAGAAAATATCAGCGTGTAGCAATATTGTCATACCTTAGCAAAATTCATTGTAAATGGGACTGTCAAAACAGCCATTCCTCTAGAAAAGTACTTCATTTTACCGGCCATAGGATTTCCCTCCATTCCTCCTTGCAAGTTAAGCTGCAATAGCATAATTTTTTATTCAGTTTGACTGCAGATGTGCAGAATCAATAAACAGAAATAGAAAAGAGCAGATGATTCAGGTAGAAAAACTAGGTCGAAAGTATAAGAAAATTTGTGCACGAGCAGAATAGTTTACTAGATCCATGGACAAGCACAGTGTAGTTACCTGGGTGAGTTCAATAAGCGAATGCATAAATGCTTATGGGGACCAGATGGTGGTAAATTCAGGTCCAGATTAAAAAAACATGCGTGACATGAATAATTGAATATATGACCATCAATGACTGCTTGTGTGGACTTCCATTTTATAAGTGGAGGTAGTTTTATTCCAGTAAAGAAATAAGCATCCAAGAATGAAATAGAGGTAGAGCAAATTAAATGCACAATGCCAAAAGGGCAATCATAAAACTGAATCAAGACAGACAAAGTGCACACCTCCACTGTGGCCAAGAAGGTCAGTCCTGTTAACACAGGCAAGAGGTAAAGAGAATCTGGAGTCGTCAGGTCAGTAAACCACAATGCTCCACCTCCTTTGAATGAAGGTACTTTCTCAACCATGTTTGATATCTACAGTTGGTAGTGCATTAAAATACCACTAAAGAAAGCAAGGTGCAAGAAAGAATTGAGTGGATGAAAAAAAAAAACTCACGGCAAAGTAAAAGCTCATGAACATTGGCCCTTGGATCAGGAGTCCTTTCATTGGAGTAAGTGGACTAACACCATGTCTAAGGGGGAGGCAGAAAAAACAAAATAAGTTGGAGAAACTGGAGCAAAGAGCAATATTTCAAATGCATGACACACAACAATGAAGGAAAAAGGTATATTACAAGCTTCAGTGTTTGATTGTTTCATCATGCAATTCAATGAAAAGTGCATAATATGAGCAATAGACTAGGAAGTGAGCTCTCCCACATTTAAAACCTAGTCATTCGCAAAAGGAAAGAAAAATAGCGAACAGAATGCATTAGCAAGAAAAGGTTATTTAACAGATATTGAGTTTATGAAGAGTGTATATTAATGAGAAAATAACATCGCCACTAAAATAATAAAACTAATAGCCTACTAAAGATCACATACTTTTTGAACAGCGCTTTCATTTTAGCTTGTCCCTCCGGTGCTGATTTTGGATCCATACTCTACAGGATATAAACTTGAAAGGTTAAAGCTAGCCACAAGATGCGCTTGACTGACAATAGTCGGCTGGTATATATAGTATAATATGGATAAACTAAGAACAAGGTCTCACATCCATCTGGTCTTTAATGGCTTCCATCTCTGGATTTATTGCCTGCAAAAATATAAGTTTGAAAGAAGCAAAGAATCATCTGGTAGTTGGAACATTATGAAGGAAGTATGAAGCTCATTGTGCATATAACATAAGAAAAGGAGACAAATACAGTGATCAAAAGAAAAATTGTACAAATGACTTCTGGAATACCATCTATGCAAATAAGTCAAGCTTGCTGCTAGAATCCTGGAATTGGAACCAGGGCACCATTTTTAAAAACAAGGTATTTGAATTTTGACTTCACCACTTATAACACGCTAAATCAGAAATTGGACAGCCTATCCATTATTTAAATAGAGTTCCAATCAATTCACAGTTATTTCTCATCATGAATCAAACGCCACCAAGATATAATTTTTTTATTTGTCCAATATTAATGCTACAAAAAATAATTACAGAAAATACCGTGGCCATACATTTTTTTTCAATAAACGCAGTCTTAATTGTATATAGCTAACCAAAGTTAGGCTTTTTGAGTGGCAGCAAGTGCGGAATCACATACATGAGAACCAAGGAGCAATACACAGCAGTAACTAGTAAGTACTTCTTTTTCTTCGACACGTAGTGATAAGTATATCAACTATCAAAAATCCAAACATCTAAGAACCCATGAGCATTTGAAAAGAGCATAGTGCTTGGGTCTAGTCTTTGAACCAAGACCGTTGAGCACAAGCAACTGTCCAGCTACATGCTCAGCTGCTTATCTTATGTGTTGGTCCTGTAGGCAATACAGAGGTTGCTCTTTCCTGAATGACACAACTCACATGCAGCATAGCTAGGTTCTGTTATTTGATGAAAACACAGCCAAACTTTAGTTGCAGAGTCATTTTGAGCACAAATGCTCTACCACTATGCATAAGATTTTATATATTAGAGTAACTGAGAAGCACATAAAAGTCTTGATGCCGCAAGGTGGACCAACAGCTTGCACACTGCAAATCCCTTGTGGAGAATTGATGAGGGTAACACTAACCATTCGCATAGCACAAGAACAACAGTTGTGCCCATGGGTGTTTGAAAAGCATTTTCGCTTGTAAATAACAGAACTTCATGTTTCTAACATTAGAACCATCCTCCAAAATGGATTCACGAGAAGGTTTTGAGCCACACATAACACTAAATTGAGCAAACAGGCAACAACGAGCTTAGCAGAATCGCATTAGGGGCACTTTACTCTTAGCTTCGTCGTGGCCTTCAACTGGTTCACAAGCAACGGGATCGTGGCGCTCCGGATAATAAGCGTTGTCAGTGCGATGCACGCCCACCTGACCACACACCATAGAAGAGGCCAAGAGGTAGCTCATCAAGCAGACGACCCAAGTGAGCAGATCCCGAACCTTACAGATAAATCCTCAAAGCTCACCAGTTCAGCCCGGTAAAGGTATGGATGGCGTCGATCATGTGCTGAAGTGCGGCAACCGGGGGGAACGAGTCGGCAGCCGCGGCGGCTACCTCCCCCGGGAACGGCGCCGGCACTGACGCCGCCGCCTCCGCTGCATCTGCAAGGACGCCCGCGGCATCGACCTCGGCGGCTGGTGCGGCCTCGAGGTTGGGGGCGGGGGCGGGGGCCGAGGACGAGAAGCTGCGGCGCGTTGGTCCCGCGAGGTGGAGCGAGAAAGGGAGGAAGCCTAGGGTTTGGGCCGCTATAGAACGTTGCTGGAGCGGGGCGTGAAGTGGCGGGAGCGGGAGCGGCGGCGAGGGGCTCGCCTGCTCGTCAAGGGAGTGGGAGGTAAGCGCGTGTGGAACGCAGGGATGGAGGTGGCAGGTGAGATGGTGAGAGAGCCGGGTGGCGATGCTCCTCCGCGCGGCGAACGCCATGGCTCGGCTGGTGCGTGGCGGCGCGCGGTGCGGGGCGACGCGGGGCCGGCTGGCTGTGACGACGACGACGGCGCGGGAGAGCGACGGCCCGAAGCGTCAGCGGGTCCAACAAGCATGGGCTCAGTGATGGGCCGTTTGGCGTTTGGTCTTCGGGAGGATTAGTTGGGCCGGCCTTGTCACTAAACAGTGGGCTTTTAGGCCCATTCCGGATCTGCCTTTGGGATGGGAGATGGACGGCGCGCGTGAGTACACGCTGACGGAGATGAAAGCGAGACTTGAGTGGACGCGGCGGGCCGCCGCGCACGGATCCCATGATCCCATCAATGCCCTTCCTCGATTCCAACTCTGCGAGAAAAGCTAAAATAATCGGACCCCATCTCCTTGGGCCGTGGGATCCCCCTCCTCCGCCGCCCTCGGATCAGCGCCACCGCGCCGGAAGACCGGGATCGTGGCGGCCACATGGACAAGGTTACGGCGGCCGCCGCGTTGCCATGGGTGAGTCCCCATGCCTCATCTCCTCTCCTATTAACCCCGCGGCCCCGCCCTGCTTTCTTTGCTCGCGCTTCAGGTAGCATACATAGCTTCTGATCAGACCGTCCGTTCGACCGTCAATGGAGGTTCTTGGGTTCGCGGCAATGGTCGTTTGCTTCCTTTCGCTAGCTTATTACTTTCATCAGTACTCCGACCTGGGCAAGCGTGTTGGGCTTACGGGGATGGTTCTTCTTGGTTGTTTTTGTTCAGGGAGGCGGTTCCCCGGCGTGGATCGACGTGCCGGAACGGAGCAAGAGTGCGTTCATGGAGCTGAAGCGGAGGAAGGTCCACCGGTACGTGATCTTCAAGATCGACGACAGGACGGAGGAGATCGTCGTCGAGAAGACCGGTGCGCCCGGGGAGAGCTACGACGACTTCACGGCGTCGCTGCCGGCCGATGACTGCCGGTACGCCGTCTACGACCTGGATTTCGTCAGCGACGACAACTGCAGGAAAAGCAAGATCTTCTTCATCTCCTGGTTTGTGCTTTCTTTCCCGCCTCTTCTTTTTCTTGTCTGCTCATCTAATTTGCTGAATGAGCAATGTTCTGAATTGATATATCCAATGGCCATATGCTCTGTTCATGTATTACTGCTATGAATTACTAGTCGTGAGTGGTTCCGTCGAGACTTGAGAAACAACACAGGTTTACTGGAGCTAAGTCTTGATCGCAGCTGACAGTAGCTGTTACATACGTTTCAGTGTTCTTAATTTGTGAGATCATGTTATCATGATCTGTCCAATGTAGTTAGAATGTAGTTATAGCATGTTTCAACCTCATGGAACTAGCATCATAAGCTTCCAGTGCACAGTTGTACAGTTGTACTGAGAGCAGACTCGTTGCAAAATGGCACTTTTTGCTTGGACAGTTGAATTGGTACGGATTGGAAAAAGGCACTTCCAGCTTAACAAACACAGCAGTTCATGTTTGTTGTTTTCAGTAAGTAAAGGTATGCTTTGAATTCGTGAAGTGCCAAGGAGAGATTAGTTGTATTGTATAGCAGTCATATATTTCTCATGTTGTCAAACTGAACTTTCGTTTCACAGTATGACTGAGTACTAATAAGTGATATATGATGGAATCATCATTTCCCAACTAATTTCTTATAGCACACTCGCTCGTGTTAACGGTGTCTCCTTTCTGTGCAGGTCGCCTTCAGATTCTCGCATCCGTGCCAAGACCATATATGCCGTGTCAAGGAACCAATTCCGTCATGAGCTTGATGGGGTGCACTTTGAGATCCAAGCCACTGACCCTGATGACATGGATCTGGAAGTTCTCAGGGGCCGTGCTAACAGAACCTGATTTGACTAGCGAGCAACCAAAATGCAGCTCGGGGGTCGCTAATCTGAGGCATGATGTAGAAGTAGGCTGCTGATCACACCCGAGCTTGCAATGTTTTTCTCTTTCTTCCTTTCTTTTTGGAGGTATAGGACCTCTGTGATGTTTGTCTGACTAGATAGGTTCCCTCTAATATGATGTGGAACCTGTCCTTGTTTTACATATAATTGTCTATGTAGTATCTATATGTTGCTGCGATGAATGGATATTATTGATTAATGAAACTTAAAAATTCCAAATATAAGGAATTGTTAGTTTTCGCATTACTGCTAAATACAGGTTGTTTCTTTGGACTTTGGAGCATGGAAATTTAAATAACAGCCTTGAAATGAAAGAAACCCTGAAAATTTACTAAACGCGAAATGCAAAGATTATGAAAGCAGAGGTTGTTGATACCTGTGCTTATGCTATTGTAGAGAAATAATGATTTGCAATGATTGATAGCCAATGAAATTCAATAATTGTCGAAAACCAATAAGTTCTGAATACCCATGTGCCCGGGACCAATACATAGCGAAGGCCAATGATCAGGCTAATGGCTCTGTTCGCTGGTTGGTTTTTGGGCTGATAAGCACGACTGGTGTTGGTTTATTGTGAGAGAAAAACATTATTAACTAAAGGCTGAATACCGTGAAGACCAATACGGAGAAAACAATTCGCCGAAGGTTAATCTGTTATCTGTTACACCTAAAAAATACGAAGGACTTTCGTCCAATCGTGCGCACGCCTGAAAACTCCAATAAGTACGCACGCCCCGAAACCAAGTCTCGTACCCTGTGTTCGTGCAACTCCTCCGCAAACGTCTGAACCAGGGAGCACGAGCAATAGCTTGGACCCATCGTCCACAAAAATTTATCCCTGTCCGGCTAGGAGCACGTGACGTGGGAAATAAAGGAAACACCAACCTACCCTTTGTTACCCAAACCAGATTTTACGTGACTCTTCTTTACTTTTTGTAGACGATTTTTCCTATTTAAGTTTCTGGCTCCACCATTGTCAGGCCATAGTCATTAATTGTGCATGCATGACTAACACGATTTTCAAATTAAGCATCTATAATGATACAAATATAATTTATAAAAAAGAATAAAATTAAAATTAGAAAAAATGAGAGGGATAGACTCACTCCGTAAAAAAATAAATCAAGCTCTAAAAACAAATAAATTGGATTGAGTTAAATATTTTCTTTTTAATTTTGTACTGTCGTAGCATATTATTTAGTTGTTTTATCTCACGGACAAATAGTATGTGAGACTAAAAGAAGTTCACCTTAGGATCTCGTAGTGGTAGGTAGAGAATAATTTCTTTAAGTTCACTCTAGATAGTTGTGATAAATACGGTTGTTGCACTACAAATTAGATTGATTTGATTTCAGGTGATCTATGTCAAAACTTGAATTATGTTCTAATTGAACATGAATTAAAAGAATGGATTTAGCAACAAATAGTATAACACATGGTTACATTTAAATTATAGTGATACTATTTTTTCCGTGCAACGCACGAGAATGATTCCAGTAATTACACGATAACCAATACTATATAGATACTAAAATAACTTGGGTATTGTCGGGTATAGATATTGGGGATACCCAAAGTAAGGTAGTTAGCACCCACGCTGACTTCCCCATATGACTCAAGACGTATTAAAAGGTCTCGTCCGACTGAAGGCCGCGGGCTCCGTCTCGCCCGACCCCTTGGGTGCGGGCTCCGTCTCGCCCAAGGCCGCGGGCTCCGTATCGCCCGACCTCGAGGCCGCGGGCTTTGTCTCGCCCGACCCCTTAGGTGCGGGCTCCGTCTCGTCTGACCCCAAGGACTTCGAGGACGCGGGTTCCGTCTCGTCCGACGGGGACCCATACCGCCGTCAACCACTATAGGTCCAAGCGTATGGGCCTGGGTCAAAACTCTGACACCAGGGAAGAGGCTGGCACGCCTCGATGTAATCCGTGGCCATGACGGGCCATACTCGGGGATTCACATCAAGAACAGTGTCGGGCGTACCGGTGCTGTTCTGCCTAATCCTCGTACGGACGCTGACAGGCGCGTCAGTTCACCACGACATCCGCCGGGACGAAGTGGAACGCCATGACCGACAGATGACGCCTGCGCATGGTGCCAGTGACGAACAGGGCCACGACATAGAGCCGTCCCTGTTGACATCTACAGGATCGGCGGGATCCGTATGAAGGAGAAGAAGGACCCGACAACTCTGGAAGCCTTCTTCTCTTTCGTTCTTCTCATTTTTCCTCTGATGTAACCCATGCTTTTCCTTCGCCTATAAAAAGAAAAGCAGGACGCCCCTTGAAAGAGAGATCTAGACGGGAGATCGAAACATAAGAGCACACGTCTGAGCGGCAAGCGAGCTCTCAGCACCCGTTCACTCCTTCCACTAGAGACTTGAGATCATCTCCCTCTCTCGCCTGTTTGTAACCCCTACTGCAAACTAAGTGCCGGTAACACGAGCAACAGCGAACTGGACGTAGGGACGTTCCGCCCGAACCAGTATAAACCCTTGTGTCCTCCGAGCATATCATCCGAGCCAGACGCGCAAATACAAATTTCTCGTCGGTGATCCAAAAACACCGACAATTGGGGCGCCTGGTAGGGGCTTTTTGCACGTCTCGACGTCCACATCAGGCCTCAGATGGCTAGTCACGGCGTCAGCTGGGTCCTAGACGCGCACGTGCGCTTCAAGAACTTGAACTTCATCGTTACGACGGAGGGAGAGTTGGCGCAGGTTCCCACCGCCGTGCAGCCTCTCCACTCCGCCGGTCTCGACGCGATCGCCGAGGCGCTAGAGGAGCTACAGCTGCACACACCGGAGGCCCACGTCCCCGGGAGCGACTAGCTCCTCAGCTTCGATTACAGGAGGCTAGAGCGCCAGCTCGGTGCCTTCCTGGGACCCCGACAGTCCCGGGAGGACCTGCGCCGCCTCACCTTCTCGTTCGCCAACATCATGACGTAGCTTGCTGGAGGAGAGCCGCTCTACCCAGAATACCTCATCAGGAGCGCCTCGATAGCGCTCCCGTTTGGTTTGCGCAACGCCGCAGAGACCGTTGACCACCTTGTGGCGCAGCGCGCGCCCTCATCCCCTATGAATGACGAGTTCGTGGGGATGACCAAATACA